TATATTATTATATATTATATATAATATATATATATATAATATATAATAATGAAATATCATAACATAATAATGATAATAACATAATAATGATATAATATATTATATCATTAATATATTATATATATATTATATATATAATATATATATATAGTATCACATATATCATATTATTATATATATTATATATATATGTATATTATATATAATATATACATATTATATATTATTAATGATATAATATAATATATCATTCTTATATCATATATAATAATATAAAAACTCATCGTCTTCATTTAAGGAATGGAGCTAGCTTGTGTTTTTTATGGCTGGGCTGCAGTTCGCACCGGTTTGGACCAACCGGTCGTTAAAAAGATTCTTGCGCCATTTGGCAAAGCGGCCAATCTCGCCCCTGGCTGGCTCCCAAATCCCCGCCTCTTTTTCCAGATTGTGTGTTTTTTTTTGGGTGGGGGGGCTGCCTTTTTTTGGGGTGGGTTGTTTTTTCGAGCCGAAAATGGCCCGAAAAAAAACGGGGCGGGGGGTGAGATTAGACCTAACCGTCTGAATCCTACGACCTCTTTTGTCTTTTGAGGCGAGTGGCCGGGAGGCGGGGAGGGGGAGGAGGGACGCCGCACGGCTAGTCACCTGACCAAACTTGGCCACGCCTACCCAGCCAGAGAACCAGCTTGTGAAATAAAATAAAAAATAAAATAAAAAAAATAAAAAAAAAAATTGGCCGGATGCCTTTCTTATCGCCGGGCCGGAGTTTCGTTCGGCTGTTATATCATATCCTCAGCGTGCCCGGAGAAAGAGAAACATCCGCCGCGACCAAGACTGGAACTCGAGAGCCTCCTGACGGTGAGGACAACCGCGCCCCTCTTTAAAACAATCCTTTTGGAAGTCTTAATAAATAATATGATGGAACGGTTGGATTGTCCGGGGGCGAGAAGGGAAAACGCCCGTTGGAACGGAGCGACTGCCCCTCCGTCCCTCGGGGCCAAGAGGGCAGAGCTAAGCCGTCAGCCCCCGGCCCCACCCCCCCCCCCCCCCGGGGGGCCAGGGGGGGAGAGCTCACCCCCCCCCCCCCCCCTCCCCCCCCCCCCCCAGAAGTAGCCGTGTTCCTGGCCCGTCCTCCTCCTCCTCCTCCTCCTCCTCTTCCTCGCTCACCTAGGATGCTGGGGTCGGCGTGCAGCATCACCGGGCGCCTCTTGATCTTCACGGCTTGGCTGTTCTCAAAGGATGGCGGTTTGGGGCTGTGGTTGGCTTGGAAGAGCGACTGCAGGCTGCTGGAGCTGAGCCACGAGGCCTCCTGTGGTGGTGGACGAGGGGTGGGGGTGTCAAAAGGGGGAGAAGCTGCAACATGGGGCCCGGAGTCGTCGGAGGCTGAAGAAGAGCCACCTCCGCTTTCTCTCCCCAAAGAAAACTCAACCGCTGACGACGTCGAGTTGCCGACGATGACGCGCCCCTACCGATGGTTCACCTTCCCTCTGCCTCCCGGGCAAGGCGCCTGCGTCCTCCCCCTCCCCTCCCTCCTCACCTGTTGCTGCTGCTGCTGCTGCTGCCGCTGCTGATTGGCTCTCTGCTTGGCACGGCGCTCTAGGAACTGTTTCGCAAACTCTTTGGCTTCCAGGGTGTCTCCCAGGCAGGAGCGGATGCAGTCGTGAACGTCGTACGGCGACTCCATCTCCTTCAGGAAAGCTACCACGTTGGGCACTATATTTTGGGGGGGGGGGGGGGGGAGGGGGGGGGGGGATGGGGAGAAGGTGGGGAGGGGTGTCATGTCAAGCCGCTGCTCTTGACGCCGCCTAGGGAGGAGAAAGGGGGAGGGCAGGGCGAGAGACCTCGCCCGCGCTTCTGTGGCTTTGAAGGAGGGATCCCCTCCCTCTTTCCTGGCTCCTCCCCGTCTCCCGTCCCCTCCCCACAAAGGTACCATCGACGCTGCTGGAAGCGTTGAGGGCGTGCAGCATCTGCTCGCACCACTGGGTGAAGCCGTCCTGTTGTGGCGGCTTGTGGATGCCTTGCAGCAGCTTCAGCAGCTTCTCCTCCTCGTCCGTCTTCTTCCGGCTCTGCCGGTTGGCGACCGCGTAGGCGTCCCTGAGGAAAAGCAGGGCGGGAATGAGTGAAGAAGGGGAGTCCAGCTCGGTCCCTCCGTCCTCTGCCGCCGCCGCCCACTCCCTGGAGACCGACTCACCCTAGGGAGGGGCTGCTCCGGCTGTTCCTCAAGCCCAGGTTGCGGGCCAGGGGACCGGGGCCTTTCATGCTCTCCTCCCAGAGGCCGAGCGGGCCGCCGGCTTTCTCGTGGCCCCCCCACAGCGAGCCCACGTCCGAGGCCCACTGAGAGGAGAGGCTGCTCAGACCGTGTCCGCCGTGCTAGCGAGGGAGAGAAAGAGAAAACGAAAGCTCGCCTGTCGGGATTCCAAACTATCGCCCTCATTGGAATCGGGATTCTCGAGCCAAACTTCAAAAAAAAAAAAGAAACCTTCGAAGGATTTATTAAGAAGCGACGTGCTGGCACTGCAGCTCTGGACTACGTCGTTTAACGTTTCCCCTCCCCGCTGGGTGCGTCCTAAATCCGATTCTCCAACTTACGTCCATTCCCAGGCTGGGCGTGTCAACAATCACCTTCCGCCAATTCGATATATTCCCCGGGGACAAAAGCTCCAAGTAGTTTGGAGCTACAATCGTTTGACAGATGAAAAGAGTCGGGAGGTACTTTCGCTTTGCAACGGCTGCGCCGGCTTCTTCCAGATTTCCCTTCATTTCCCCCTCATGAAACCGTTTCCTTTTATTTCCCCGATTTAAAATCGGGATCCTCGAGCCAAACTTCAAAACGCTTCCAAGGGTTTATGAAGAGGCGATCTACTGGCAACTGCCCCCTGTATGAAGCCAACACGCCGCCCGACGGCGCTCCCTGCACCACACACCGCCGGCTTTTCCTCCAGACACACCCCGCACACACACCCCGACAGCGCACACCCCGCGCACACACCCCGACGGCCCTCCCTGCACCACACCACACCTGGTTTTCCT